AAATCTTGTACATAAATTTTACATTTACAATAACTTAATCGTTTCATAGCCATTAGAACATTTTCTGGGCATGAAAACATGTTAATTTGATTTTACACAGATGTTTGGGCCTCAAGTTATAAAAGAGTTTTTACTTACTAATTTGTCATGTTTTATTAAATTGTATATAATGTTACAACAAATATCTTGTGACATTCTTCATAAATTTGTCAATAAAGACAAATAGGAAATAAGTATGTCCAGTTAGTAATAAAAACATATTTTTATCACCTATTAAAGCCAAAAAATTATTTAACATGTTGATATATTGGTATTTTCCTTGTCCAATGTCATGTTTGGCTGCTGGGTGTATCTGGTCCAAGTTCCAATATTTTAAATTTTTCAAACATAATTGAAATTTACAGCTTTTCATTCAATACAGCTTGAAATTAACTCTTGTCATAACTGCATGAGGAATACCTCTTTTCCATGTAAGTAAGGATGTCTTGATATTTTGCAAATATTACCGGTAAGCAATATCAAATTTACCTATTATGGTACTGTTTTGTACCAGCTGAGATTACTCTAACACCATGTTATAGTAGTCTCAGGTACCTGAACAAGAACTCTTCTATCACAAATATTTAGCTAAATTAACGCAAAATCCTTGATAGGGCAATTATGTTGATTTTTTAAAAAGTTCAGTTTTAACTTTTATGAATTGAAAATTGAATGAAGGAAAAAAAATTGTAGTACATTCTTAAACAATTTGTTTTAATCCCATTTAATGAAAATGTTATAAGAATATTTTATAATGGGACACCTTTATCTTTGAAAATTATTTCTAAAATATAATAAAAAGATTAATTTCTGAAATTGTTATTCAAATTATCAAGTTTCTTTTCAGATAGTGCTACTGATATTATCACAAAGAGATTTGATACCTGATCATAAAAACATTAACATTGTTGATTGTTTTGTTTACACAGACCACAGGGGACTAACACACCCAGACATGTTAATCCAATTAACATGGGGGGATCACTACTCCCAGCAAATTACCTATAGAATGACCAGGTATTGACCAATGCATCTTTCAATTGATCTTTGCCACCTTTTAATTGTCCACCTATTTGTCTGTAATTAAATCCTGCCTTCATTTCATGTTCAGGTGTAAATTAAGTCTGGTTAATATTATGTCTGGATTCTGATATAAAGTGGACATAGAAATTAATTTAAATATCAGTCCAGTTTACGATATTGATGAGTGTGCACAGATAATTGTTATTATTATAATAAGAGACTTTAATGTGAAAACCGTGTCGAAAAATTGCTACTTTGTCTGGGATAAATTATAGGATAAGGACGCTTTGAAGATCTCAATATTTGGAATTTATTGACAGTTTTATAACCGATTAGCAATAGTCATTATTGTGATTTGTAACCTTAAAAGGGTAGGTTCATTACATTCCAAATATTATACCAGCCTTTACTTAATTTTCATTTTTGTAAGTTTAGATGGCTTTTATTTTGCAAAGATTTTCAAAGGTTGGACACTATTCATTTTTTTTAATAATTTTTATGATTATCAAAAATTTCTGAATATTTTGTGCTAGAAATAATACTACCATGAAGTAAGAATGAACCTGAATAACTACTTGAACTAAATTATTATTAACGAAAATTGCACTTATGAACCTACATTAGTCTGTCATATCATAGAATTGTACAGAACTCCATGGATCAAATTTTTGGAGTTTATTGATTGTGAACTGAATTTTTGATACTTGATACATTAAATCTGAAATATTTTTTCATGAAAATGCAACATATGGCCGACTGTCTTTAATATGTGTTGATCAGACAAATCCTCAGTTATCATTAGGGAAAATCTGATTAACTTTCTTCTCACTCCAAGACCAGTGGTCAGTAGAATACCTGTACAGGTAGCGTCCTATTATATGACAAGATATTGAGCCATCAAAATTGGTCATTGATCAACAGGGGATGGTGATTGGTTTTGTCATAAATGGCCATTAAAGTCATGTATGATTTATTTTATACAAAACCATTGCAATTGAGACAATTGATGACCACTGGTCAAATTTGGTCAAAATTCACATTACCAAACATTAACAGAATTGTAGATTCACCTCTGCAATTATATTACACAAAGAACCGCTAGGTTTACAAGACATTAGAAGGAACTAATTACAAAAGATCTAAAGTGGACCGTTTTACCGACAGTGATAATAATTTGAAATGCATTTGTGCAGATAATAATTAGGAGACGCATTTTGTGCAATTATCATAATTGGAAGTTAATGTGGAAAACATTTAAGTGAATTTCTTATGGACTACTTTATTGGTTTTGTAGGTCTTGCAGTAAGGTCTGCACGAAGCTCGTCTTAGTTGTTATCGTGCTTTAAAAATGGAACATTAAATCTAAACTGCAAGGTAAAGAAGTTATTTTAGATTAAGAGATATAGAAATTCTTCATATTTTATATTTTTTTCAACAAAAAAAATACCAAAACTAATATAAATGTCAATTTACATTAAAGTTTTTTTCTTTTTTCACCATCAGTTAAAAATATATTCAAACAAGGATTTATATAGTAATATTTTTTCCATGTTGTCTTACTAGATAAATCCCAATGGTTCCTTCATTAAAAAAAATATGATAAGATTGTCTGACCGAGTTGTTCATTAACTTTCAGATGAACTCATAATACCCCAATATAAAATAGGCCTAAAATTTCATTATTATTTGAGTATTCATTATATTGACATTTTTTATTGATCTTAATAGTTCTTTTCTGAAAAATTATAATAAATATATAAATCAGTTTAAGGTATTCATAGTTCAACACACACACAAAAAACAGCAATGTCTTATTGGAGTCATGTTAGGTGAGAAATTGATTTGTTTTTGTTTCCTAAATAATACAAAGACATTATATCAAATATAGATGATTATTTGTATCCTGTGAAATTAACAGCTTTGTGTCAGTTAAGGTCAGTTCTGACCAAATCATTTCATTCTGTGGTCACCATCCAGGTAAAGTACTGGTCAGTGTAGATTTGGGATAGATATTACTGTGCTAGATTTTTTATAGAAATTGGGATACATGGTTGTTCCTGAATGTAATGTTTGTATTTTTTGCATATTTTGTTTTAATTTTGTTTGACGAAAATATAAGATTGTTCAGAGATAGTCTATGGTTATTCCATTTATATGTAGTGAAAAAGAATTCCTAGGAATTAATGGTATTTCTGATGTTTTTCAACATAAGTATACATTACACAGGGAGGTCCAAATTTCTGGACGGCCATGAACAAAGGTTTAAGAAAATGATTATTTTAAGCATTAAATGTCAAGTAGACAAATCTATACAGAATAAAGACAGGTATTTTTACAAAATATTAGATGGCAACCCACAATATGTACAATAAATCCTTCGCTTGACTCTATAAGAAGTAGGGTCGATCTACTTTTCAAATATTTAAACAAGTAGCTAGAATAAATATCTTTTGAGATTTCTCATAACGATACTTTTGAAAATGTATTTGAATTTTTAATTGAATTAACTACATATCGATGGTGAGTACATGGTCTTTGATAAATAGAGTAAAAAGAACAATATATTTACTTTCACACCTAAAGTAGGTTGTAAAATATGTTTTAATTGAAATTTGTAAATAATCCATAATATTAAAACAAGGACATGGCCACTTCTTTTTCAACATGAAATGCGTACTATATTTGATGTTCTGGTACAAAAAGGCTACAAATGCTGTATTCATATTTATATAATATAGGTATAAACCAGCTTTACTTTCTTTAGAGAAGTTGATGACCTACACATCTTAGATAGGAATGAAAAGAATATGTTAGATGAAAATTTGTAATCTTCATTGACCAAAGTCATGTCCAATTTTATATTTGCTTAAATTTTATTTGACAGTAATTGATACAGCAGTCTAAAAAGTATTACTTTTAAAAGAACTACACAAATTCGTGTATATACAGATATCAAATTTTGAAAATATATCTTACAATCAGTATGATTAGTAATAATCATGAATAAATGGAGATAAGTCTGTTACAAGAAGTATAAAGTTTTTAGTAAACTGGACCCCTGTTGTCTTCACTTATTGCTACACTAAGGGCGAAGCTTTAGATGGAATGGCAAACCAGTTCATGCAAGCTTTAAGATTCATTTAGTCTTAGACTTGTATATTTGTATTCAGAATATTTATAACTGTAAAAAATTGAAAACTTAAATGCCTATTACTCCATTTGGTAACGTCTTATTATTTAAATTAATTTAGAAAATTTGAAAATATTATATATAAGGTCTCTGGTAGGTTGAATAAAACTGAGTTACGTAAAGCAAAATTCAGCATATATTGTTATGTATAATGTGTGTGTCTATGTTAATTACATAAGAAGATCTGCGTTCAAACTGGAATGTTCGTGGTATTGACTTTTAATGTAGAGAATCATTTGATATATTGACTGTTGTTATAAAAGAATCATTTGAATTTGAAGAAATTTGCAACAGATGATATTATTCTAATATATGCAAACATTTTCTATAAAAACAAGAACAGTAGCTTGTGTTTGCCTTTCTAAATGGTTCATAATCCTATTTACTCTGACTGGTAACCAAAATTAATTTACATTGTAGCTTTTCTCACCTTTACATAATAGAAGTTACTAGTATATCTATATTTGAGAACAAACATTACCAGTAGAATGAAAGGGACATTGTATGACAACATGTCACCTTTTTTGGTTTCAGTTTGAGCTCAATCTGTGAAGGTACTATCATATTATCAAAATGTTTACTCGACTAATGTGTGGAAGTTGATTTAAATGGACAGATCGTTTCTCATTGGGCATTTAAAGTGTGTCTTTTCAAGTGGCAAGATAGTGTCGGGATGAAACTGTATCGATATCCAGATAATTTACACTAAATAGACTTCTGAATTTTTTATCACTTTTTATTTTTGCAGTGATTAAGAGGAGACATTGATGCCTGATGATGATATATCTATAGTTTGGATTGTAAAGGTACAAGTACTGGTAAGTAAAAAAATATATATATAAGTTTGAATTAAAGTAGTTGTTGAATTAATAAAAAAAAATTATTGAAAAAAAAATGCTGCTATTTACAGAAGTTACTCAAAGTATTTCAGTACTGACATGATTTATAACAAACCTAAAATTGTACATTTATAAATTTATAAATTATTACAGTAAGAAATTAAGGATGCAACTTCCTCAGGCAAAGTTGACCTTGCATGGATTTGGCTATTATTAATAGGTCCTTTTTATTCATAATTATGACGTAGCTCTTCAACTGTTTCCATTCTTATACATTCTTAGCTTTCAAATATTCAAATGTGAGCATTCCTGATGAAGGTAAATACAGATAAGCGCTTTGGATGCATGAAATTTATAACAAGTTGTTTTCATTTTTTAATTTGTACTAGAATATGGTTTTGATTTCAAGTTGAAAGTTTCTAAGAACTTCAAAGTTGTTACAACTAAGAAATAGGCAAATCACAAAGGAATTCTGCTTTTTTTTATGCTCCTTTTTTTGACAGTTGCTTGAATATATTTTGCAATAAGCCAGGATCAGCACATAACTTAATTAGTACTAGGGAAAGATCTAGACAACCCAGAATGGATACTTAATTAGTACATATGTTGCAGTTTTTAATGATGGATTATTGACAATTGTAATTATTATATCACCTGCAACTAAACAAGCAGCATACATGTATATTCACATAAACTGCAGCAACAACAAAAAATAATAATTTAGAAAAAAGAGAAATGATATAAATGGTAAAATTAATAAACCCTACAAAGTTTTACATTTGCACAACTGTTTTCATGATTTAAAAATAGATCAAATATTTCTGAAGTTGTCAATTTATAGATTTTTTTTTAAATAATTCAGAAATAGTGTATTTACATATTTCATATTTCCTGTATAGTACAAGATAAATGACCCCATAAATGTTCTAATATCAGATCAATTTGATTTGATTAAAAACTGAATTTTCAAAGTTATGATAAACATGTTTGTTTTAGACGACTTGCTACAATAACATATTTGTGTAGAATTATCTCCCCTAGATAAAGTGAATACTTAGATAATTTAAGGATTAAATTAATGATTAAATTAAATAAAAGATGTAATGAATGACAGTATCTGTTTGATTAATCGATAGTGAGGGATCAAAGAGACAAGATATCCATTTATTTAATATAAATTTAGTATGAAGAGAAATTTTCCCTGAAAATACAAAATTTAGAAAACAGATTTTCCCCTGTTTATAAAATTACAATTTTCTATCTGCAGTTATGAATTTAAACTTTATTTTTCTTTTTCTCCCTTTTTAGTACTTTTTATAAATTTTGATCCACAGTAAAATGCTATGGTATAAGAGAACTATACTCCCCCTAGAAGGTTTAATTTCTTCCTTGTTCATTTTCTATGTTTCACAATAAAATATGAAAATTCTTTTTTCTTTATTTATTTTTGAAATCAACACCACACTATATCAATATCTGCTAAATGTCTTGATGAAAAAAATGCAATATATATATCAGATTTAAAATTTTTAAAAAATATTTGCATTTTATCCAAAAAAGTCTTATTTATTGGTCATAAAATTAATTTATAATTATAACTTTAGCAGAAATAATAGTGGTAAAAGATGAATTGCAAAAACTTTGCATATGCCTTTTTTAGTGCATTGAAAGAAAAATTAAATGCTGTTGTTGTATATATGTGATGGCAGTATTTGATGTTTACATGTAAAGGATTTCACTTTAAAAAACAAATCCCCAAATTTTAATTAAACTTTCTAAATTTGACTTGTCTATTCTTGAAACAATAGTTAATTGAAACTCAACTTAAATCTCCAGATCAGATTTTACAGATGGGGGCCAAACGTTAAGCTGTATGAAACACTTCACACAATTTCTCATGCTTATATTATTTTCCTTGTCAATCCAGAGATAAACTTGTGTACTTAGGAATCATCTTTATTAGAGTCATAGATCTATTTAATTCCATGGTATAGAGTAACAATCCCGTTGTACTAAGTCCTTTCGATATCCTGATGTCATTCTTAAGACAAGAGAAAATGAAATAATACCGTTGTTGTGACCATAGATAGTGACTTTACACATAGATTGGTATCCCTACTGTGTCATATCTCTAAACCGACTGGTGTAAGAAATAATATAACATGGTAAACAGGCATATCAGTACACCATCACTCGTAGTGATAGCTTTTGTTAACAAATATGAAATAGACAACATTTTTGTTAGATGACAGGAATATTGTGATAAATATTGACATGTCCTACGGAAATCCTATGGACACCCTGTCAGAAGAGATAGTGTGGGAGCCCAAATCACTGCTGTTATCTCCGAGGAGGAAAGTTAACTTGACTCATGGCTGATAACACCTTCATCAAAAACATAGAAATCACCTGTTTTGGAGAATAATATTGATAAAGGTGTAAATAAAAGGGAAAGAGATTGGGTTTTACTTATTAAAAAGAATTTGACACATCCTCACAAATACCTGTAATTTACTATTGAATATACCGGTAGATATACTCGGCTGTTTAACGTATAATTTATTTTAATACCAGTCTTTCAAAAGAATTAATGCTGCCTATCAAAGAAGAAGGTTAAAATTCCATAATATTCAAAAGTAGAATAATGAAAAACAGTACTGTGGTATATCTTTATTTTTAAATCTTAAAACATATTTTTTTTCTTTTCAGGTTTGCCATTGGCACTAGGATTCATTGATACGTGTATTCAAAAATAACTTCATCACAATGGTGCTACACATATTCATTGGACTATTTTACATAGTAACAGTTTGCTATGGTGAGAACATCATCAATTTTCAACTTATGGAAGAAATGCCATTAAATACACCAGTTGGCAGTTTAGCAACAAATAGTGGACTTCAAGTAAATATGACATCCCAAGAGTTTAATAATCTTAGGTATAGTTTCTTAGATCAAACAGACATGCAGAATTTGTTTAACATCAACGATAAAACTGGTGACCTGCAAACCAAAATTCAAATCGACAGGGAACATGTCTGTGATTTTGTAGATTCCTGTGTTCTAAAATTTGATATTGCAATCCATTCCTCTGTTCCTGCTATGTTTAAAATCTACTCTGTTCAGATCACACTGCTTGACAAAAATGACCATTCACCAAAATTTCCGTCAGATATTGTTAATCTACAAGTACTGGAATCATCACCCATTGGTACATCTGTTACCATTGACGATGCAACAGATTTAGATTCTAGCCCAAAGTATTCAGTTCAGAGCTATGAAATAGTTCCATCCAATAGTATTTTTCGTCTGGATTCAACACCTAAAGTAGATGGTGGATTTTGGTTGAACCTAGTTTTACTTCAGAAGTTAGACAGAGAAAAACTAGATCATTATCAACTTCAAATTGTTGCAAAAGATGGAGGCTTTCCTCCAAACGTAGGAACAGCAACTGTTAATGTGGAAGTTACAGATGACAATGATAATTCTCCAGTTTTTGTACAAGATGTTTACAATATCAGTATCGCAGAAGGTACAGAGTCAAACACAGCAATATTGGCAATCTCTGCTACTGACAAAGACATTGGTGATAATGGAAAGGTCACTTATAGCTTCAGTTCTAGACAAAATGGATTGGACTCGATTACAAGTCTGTTTTCAATAAATGAAACCACTGGATTTTTATCTGTGATTGGGAATATTATCTATGAAGCCGGCAAGGTATTTAAGATTTATGTGGATGCAAGTGATCACGGAACATCTCCAAAAAGTTCACAAGCCACTGTTCATATTAATATCATGGATACGGGGAATAACCAACCTATCATTCGAATTAACTTTATCAGTTTGGGAAGTAATGATGTCGTGAATATTTCCGAGTCTTCCAACATTGCAACACTTGTAGCGTCTCTAAACATAGAAGATCCAGACACTGGAGCCAATGGTAATGTTTCTTGTAGTTTGTCCGGAGAATTTCTATCTCTTCAACCTATTTCCAATAAGAAAGGATATCTTATAATGATAAAAAAGAAATTTGACAGAGAAAAGCAAGATTATCATAATATTCTAGTGACATGCCAAGATCAGGGATCACCTGTTAAAAGCACCACAAAAGTTTTCCACGTTCGAGTGTTAGATGACAATGATTGTACTCCAGAATTCTTACTGGCAAACTATTTTGCTTCCATGGACGAAAATAACTTAAAAGGGACCCCTATCACAAAAGTATCGGCCAAAGATGATGATTTAAGTCCAAATAATGATGTTCAATATTTCTTGGACTCTGATTCAGAGGGAAGGTTTGCAATAAATTCTGTATCTGGAGTGATCACAGCTAATACAGTTTTTGATCGTGAACAGGCTCTGAACTATAAATTTACAGTATTAGCAGTAGACAGTGGTAATCCTCCTTTAACTGGTACGGCCTCAGTGATATTGACAATCAAAGATGTCAATGATAATGCACCATACTTTGATGATGTTCCATTTTTCCAATTTTTTGTTAAAGAAAATGCTGATACAAAAAATCCTATTGACAAACTAACCGCTCATGACAAAGATGAAGATGGAACAAGAAATTCTGATATAACATTTTCGCTTGACCCCCAATTCTCAGATGCAAATTTGCCTTTCATTGTGTATCCACAGGGGAATATTTATACTAACATGAAACTTGACCGTGAAAAGCATAGTAGTTACCAGTTTACAGTTATTGCTAAAGATCAAGGAACACCACAGATGTCTGCTTCCATGGATGTGAAAGTTTATGTATCTGATGATAATGACAATAGGCCAAATATTACTTTCCCAACAAAACAAAACAACACTGTCAAAATCCCATATTCTGTTGAAGTTGGGACTATGATCACACAAGTTAAGGCAGTTGATTTGGATGAAACTGGACCGAATAGTCAATTAGATTACAGGATAAAATCAGGGAATGATCAGGATGTTTTTATGATTGGGTCTACCACAGGGAAAGTGTATCTGAAGAGGACCTACGAAATTACTTCCGATAAAATGTTTCCTCTAAAAATTGAAGTAAACGATAATGGCAAAACAAAACTGAACAGTAGTGAAACTTTAAGAATTGTTCTTCTGTTTGCTAACATGACAACAGCGGCACAAGAATCTGGCTCTGGTAACAGGAATATAATCATTTCTATTGTTGTGATAGCGTTGACAGTCGTCATATCGGCAGCCATGATTGCCATCATTCTGATTTTACGGTACAAGGACAAACAAGATAAAGAACAAGGCCAGAAGCCATTAACATACCCACAAATAACACCACAGGAGAAAACAATGGCAAATGGTTTATCTAAAGATATGGACATGCAAATAAAAAAGAAAAAAGAAGTCAGCTTCTCTATTGATGAGGATTTAGACAACATGGAGTTGTATAACACAAATTCAACAACTACATCAGTATTTAATGATTTTGAGGTAAATATTTATTTTGGATTCTTGCAGTTTGGTTATTTTCATTTTATTCCAAAAAAAATTACATTATGATATTTTATGAATTAGTTGGGGTCCTCGAAACCCATTGGCCCTGCAATGAAGTGAATACCTGTTACAAGAAGTATAGTTGAATCGAAGCTGGATAAAACTTTTTTATCCACTCTGTCTGTAAGAGAAATAACTTTTTTTTTATGACACACACTAAATAGCTGAATTCAGGCTCTTTTTGGAAATCACACAATGTCAAAAGTTATCCCATCAAACATTTATATATTTGACTGTGTTCTAGGGTTATTTCCCCAAATTTATTAATGCATTCATTACTATAAAATGTCTGATAAGATAACATGATGGCATCAAATGAATAATTTATGGAAAACAGGGAAAAAATCATTGATATCTTTATAAAAATAGTAAAATTTTGATGTTATCAATCACTGAAGCACATCTTTATTTTTATCAGAAATTTACAGAAATAATATGGAGCTAGACCATATTTTCTAAGTAGTAGGAATATATTGTATTATTTAAAAAAAATAATGATTTCTATATATATAGATAACTTTTTAGTGCTTTTGGTCTTTTACAGTTTTAAAACTGAACTACCTCGAACCCCATAAATATACCATTAAATTATTCCAAGGTAGTTTACATGTAAAAAAAAGTTTTTATATTTATATGAATTAAGGTATTAAATATTTGATAATACCAATGTTTACAAAACCTTGTCAAAATGAATGTCTTTAAAAGTGACACCCACTAAGTAGTCATATTGTTTGTATATAAATTTTAAATGTTTTGATTTAAAATTTTGACACCAAATTGACCATGAGCTGATGATTTGTAAATAATAACAAGACTGTGTTGTAATAATCTAAACAAAATAAGTTTATTGTTAAATTTTATTCACTTTTGTGGTAAATTATTTTTCAAGATACTAAAAGAGTTTATTTCTTGTTTTAAAAATAGAATAGAACAGATTTGTTCAGTTCTTTCTTTGTAGTATTTTAAAATTTTTATATTGTTGTCTTTTATTGCCATAGTTTAATAATCAATATCAATTTTTAATACAAGTCTGAAAGCAAATGTGTGATATTTTTGAAACATAATTTCAGAAATTTTATTGTGGTATAGACATATTGTTAATAGACTGGTGTTTTTTTTCTAATTTTATTGACACCAAATTAAAACTCCATTAAATTGTAATTATTTGATTTCAGATATTTCACTCGATTATTCACCGGAAACTGGCTATTTGTTAACCTTTAAATAGTATAGAATTTTATATTGTAATGAAGAAATGCCCCTGTAAAGGAAAATACAATGTACACAGTTCAGATGTATTGGCCTTTATTTTTCAGAAGCAACATGAAAAGTACAAAGTTAACAAGAAAGGTCTACACGTAGAATTTCCTGAACAAAAGGTATGTTATATTGAAGTCTGAATATGGAGGTAGGCAGCTATTGTATAAGTTGATGAACATTTGTCTACATAACATGACGATTGTCAGTTTTCCTGGGTTTCCGAAGGTTAATGGTTCCTCTGAGCACACCAGCTTCCTCCACTAATACAAACTGTCCGACATGATATAGCCAAGCATTTAAAACACCAACAGTCAATTTATATTACAAGTATCAAACCAATTTTTATTCACATACATGGAATCAACATTTTGAATTTATCTACTATTTTATGAACACTTATAATTAAATCTGCTTGCTGAACTCATTTTTGTAAAGTATGATAGATGTGGGAAACAGATGAGGCAGCAACCCAACAGATAAATGGCAACCATAAAAGACTTTAACACATATGATATTCTGTACCGTAATTGATTATTTCAATGTCTTTTGGATAGTTGTCTCATGGAAATCATACCAGATCTCCTTATTTTAACATAAGTAAGCTCTTAAATATTATATCAATGTATTTTATTAAGACTGCAAGATCTCTAAATATTATTCATAAAAAAATAATAATTCAATCTTTAAAAGAGATCTAGTATCATAATGTGATGAGTTTGAAGAATTGGATTAATTTTAAGATACTTTTAGATTTGTTTTGGTTAAACATAAAGACAGAAGATTATACTTTTGAGAAAAATATAAACAAATCTTGTACGAGGGCAGGTGCTAAATCTCGTTCAAAGATTGAAAATTCAAGTGAATTTAAATCTGAATATTACAGTAGAGTCGTAGTAGAAAACCCTTGTTATTGTTATTTATGACCTGTTCTAGCTACGGAATGAATTGTGACCTCATTTACATAAATGTTGTAAAAATGTTAGTTGGGAGTGAGAAATATAATCACATGGTCATTCATCTTGTAAATGAAATGATTGCATTTTAAATTGAATTTCTTTTATTTGTCCAACGGCACTTTATCACTTTCTGATAGCATCTTTTCATTGTAATTATAGTTTGTCAGTGTTATGTATAAGTTTACACCTATTGTGGAGGCTATAATGATGGGTTAGGGTATAACATGGTTTAGAGGGACATTACACCTTTGTAGAAAAATCTGAAATCCAAAAAATATTTTGACAGTCTTAATGGTATGTTACACCTTTTTCAGTATAAAGTTGATAGGAACTTTTGATTCGTGCTTAAAGTCCTCTATTTCAGTTCTATTTTTGTTTTGGTAAAGTGTTCTTATATACTAAGACAAAGTACAATTTTATTGTTGCACAAATATTACAACTGCACCTTTATAATAGAAAACAGATTAAGTAGAGGTAATCACTATCATAGACCAGGTACTGTACATTGTATAGAGTTAGTGTTTTGTCTTTATTATAAAAAATAGAACCTAAATACAATCATACAAAAATGTACTACAAATAAAAATCAAGAATGGTATACTAAAACATACAAAATATAACCTGAAATTAAGGCAAAGAGTAGAAAATTATACCATTATCTTTAAACCTGATTTATTTTCCAGGGACATCATAGTTTCGACAATATAAGTGAGTTATCAGATGAAGCAACAAACTCAGACAGTGGTCATGGCAGCAGTGATGTGGATATAACTAACCAATCAAATGGAGCACAGAGTAAGTTTGTTTTTATAAATGGAACCACTTGTTCATATTTGAAAATATAATATTTGTGCTTAATAATAGAATATAGAAATTTTGCTAACAGTACCAATGGGTTTATGTTAAAATTTAATATAAACCCATCTGTATTAATAAATGGTGATTTGCAGATGGAATCATCCTAATAAAGTGATTAAAAATCAAACTTAACATTTCTGCTTTAAAAAACAACAACAAAAAACAAAAGTAACCCAGATATACTGCTTTGAGCAAGGAGAAAAAATTTATAGCTCACTCCATTCTGATCAAAATTTCTAGAGTTTTATATAATGATAAACAAAAAGTTGCTTTAATCTTGAAATATAAAGAATTTATGGGTATTTCTGATTATTGAAAACCAAAGAGCAGACACAAACCAACCAAGCAACAGCAGAAATTATGGTTAAACTTATGAGTTTATTTTTCTGACAAAAGGTTCAAAAGTGAAAAAAAATGAAATTCCTGTTTCAATCTTTAACATAACAATATAGTATAGATATTGATGCTCATGTACATATGACTTGAACCAATTTTGAATGTAAAAAAAAAAATATGATAATATCAATATACCCGGGTATTCAGATTTATAAAGCTGATAAAAAATTGTACAAGCCAGAACAAACTTGTAAGGAAAAAAAACCTATTAAAGTTTCAAGTATATATGGTCTATTATTTTTTAATAATGCTTAAAGCACATAGTTTAATATATATTTTTATTCCTTATAGGTGATGTAAAGTTTGCACCTAAATCTGTGAGACTGCAGCCAGTATTATCAGCAAAGTGTCAGTCACCCATTAGGGCCGATGATGTATTGACCATAGTGACAAATAATGGCCACAGAAACTCATTTGACAATTCACATCGTAGCTTAATACTAGACGGTCGAAAAAAATCTGGTAACAGTGCCAAATCAAAGGACAACTGGGTACCATCGTATGTGTAATATATGTATAAAAGTTTCCACAGTATAGTGCAATATATCAGAGAAATGGACAACTTAATACTCAGATGAAATATATGGATATTTCTTGATTGTCATGTGAAATACTGGAATTATATATGAAGACCATATGATAGTCACCTTACTAAATATTCAGTGATACCCTGATGAACGAAACAAGGCTCTACCTAGAAAACTTGTATTGACAAATGGATTCAACTGAATCAAGGTACGCAGTGTTTGTTTATCTGAGAAGTCTTTTACCTTAAAGATACTATTTTCCTCTTGTATTTTGTCCTATTTCTTCCAGCTGATTTTTTATATCATATTAAATATCTCCTATTTTCATTTAGACTTTAAACATGAATAATTTCAGAGGTCAGATAAAATTTAAAACATTTTTTCAAAATACTGGCCTTTTGTGTAAAAAAAATATCTGAAAAAAATATTATACAATGTATATCATAATTGTCATGCTCTTTGTTTTCTAAACATCATTGAGATGAATTTGTGTAAATACAGACATAATGATGCATGATAAACACAACAGATTTTTACTACCTTGTGGAATTAGTTACAAGGCTGTGGAATTGGTTACAAGGCTGTGGAATTAGTTACAAGGCTGTGGAATTTGTTACAAGGCTGTGGAATTGGTTACAAGGCACGATGTTTTCCATGTGAAAACTTATCAAATCAATTTCTAACACATTTTTATTACTTTAATAGGTTTTTTTATAGGTACCAGTTAGATCATTTTATTGAGATGTATAATAAAAAGTAAGAAATTGTATGATAGTTCCATGCAAGCTGTCATTATTCCTAATTTTATTGCATTTCTTCTTTATTTTGTAGGACCATATGTTCAGTTGGAGGAATTTGAATCCAGAATCAAAGAGAGGCTGTAAAGGGAGACTATTGAAAAGGAAATCAGTTGATTATTCAGACAGAGGAGATGATTTTGATTTTGATGTGGATGTGGAATTTTCAATTTAAACATGTGTAGAGTGTAGACTGTTTTAACAATGTTTCCCACATTGTATTTATATAATGCACTATCAAGAAACCAAGACCAATTTGAAATGAATTTTTCAATATCTCAATTTGATCATACAGTTGTTTTACATTACTGTTTGCATTCATCACCACTTCATTCATATATAAACAGCATTAATTTGTGATATTCAATGTACAGGGTATATATTTTGTTATGTATTTATACAATTGTTAAAATTTATACATAAAATAAAATTATGAAACACTAAATTACTTTGTCATTGACTGCATTTCTGTTGTGAGTTGCAACTTTACAGTATTAACAGTAAGAATTTGGTGTAAATCTGTTATTGTTTTATATTCCCTTGCCACTCAGTGACCAAGGCATATAGTTTTACCTTTATAGAAATAAGGAGATGAGGTATGATTGTTTGTCGGTCATTCCAAAATCAAACTATTGTCTGGACTTTTATTGTTTTGTTATGGCTGTAAGTGTTGAGCTGATTTTTGCGTTAAAAATGTACACATATAATGTGTGTTACAGATTGAGTTGGCATTTTGTTTTTGGATTTGAAAAATGAGGCTTGTACAATTTGGTACAGACAGTAGCATTTGTGTCATCCCAACATATTTAGTTCATGGATAAATTTCAGTTCAAATCATATTTTGAAGCAATGTTATTGTTGATAAATTGAATGGTATATCTGTGAATTTGGACATCATGTAAAAATAAGTAGATGTGGAAAGATTGCCAACGAGACAACTATCAACCTGAGAACAAATGTTAGCAACTTTTTTGCTCATTGCAAGTTTGGGAAATAACATCATCAGATGACGATATTGTTTGTATTTACTAATTTATCTGCAGAGCATCACCATACATTTAGGAAATAAGGTCAAAGACTTATAGAGTGTACTGACTGTTACTGTGTTTGCAAACATTTTAAAGTCTTCACACGGCATGTTGTTCTGGTTCAAAGTAGGCTGTATTTTCTCATCTTGCATATGCATGTCATTCTTGCCATTAGACTTTTACCAGCAAACAATCATAAATAAAGTAAAATTTAGAGCAGAAAAATAAGAAATAGTACTTTAGATAAATGTTTGTATTCCCTTTCTCTGTGGTTCTAGACATCATAATGGCTTCAAGGGTCCAAAAAAAAACATATATTTTATCATCTTCTTTGTATTGTTTTCAAAAACGTTCATATCATTAAAACCACTTGGCCTGTATAAATCAAATCTTTCTCAAGTATGTTTTGTCAGTCGAATTTCTAATATGATGAAACGTGACAGAATAAAAACATGTTCCCCTGAAACTACAAACAACATTGAACTATTTACACTCCCCTTGAAAGTACAGACAACATTGAACTATTTAAACTCCCCCTGAAACTACAGACAACATTGACTGAGTATTTGAATTGTTCTTTCAAACGAGTTAATTATGGCAAAAAGATATCAAGATGAAACAAACAGTCCATAAAACACTACTCCAAAAATTAAGGATTGAGCAACAAGAACCCCACTATAAATAAGTTTTGAAATTAGTGCTTCAGAAGTGTAAGACTTTCAAGCTTCACTAGTTGTACCTGTATATTACTTAATGATAAGCAAATATCTGATAAAAAAGTTTCAATAACTACATCTGTTAGTTATGACCAATAGAAGATGTTGGGTTTACGCCAGTGAGACAGCATAGCGACGACATAAACAACTAAAAGATATCTAGAAGTCAACATCAACCAATTTTAAGCAGGATGAGTTTCTGATAATTGTATCCCTGTTTACTATAAGATTCAAAGTTTGTACTGTAACAAATTTGTTTTCCTGATTAAAAATGCAAGTTACAGATAGATTATATGAGAATTTTAATACAAAACCTGTTACACCAAGTAAATGCCAGTATTATCATTGTATTCACTCGTCTTGCTACTGTTGATTAAAACAAAATATACCAATAAAACAGATACCAACAAATTGAAATATAGATCAAATATCAGTGATATCCAACTTCTTCACTAAGACGTCTAGAGGTCAATATATATAAATTGTAACGATAGGACAACATCGTATTAATCTAAGGTCTGTCAATTCAAAGCTTTGAGTGAACTCAACATTTATTACTGTAGATTTTCCAACAACACTAAATCTAAAACGGATAAATAAAATGAGATAAAATAGGAAAAAATGACTATGATTCTGACTTCAGACTTGCACTTTGGCGTGGCTTTTTTTACAAGTTCCGATTATATTTCCTATACATCAGAGACTGATAGTATTATAGTATTACATGTCTCTAAATACACCAGTCTGAAAAGTATCGTGCAGATTTTGTTACTAGTAACAGAAAATAAGTTTTGCATCCTAAACATTAATTATTACTTCTTTGGGTAATAAATTTGGATAATATTGTATGTTGAAGTTCTTTTCGAATATGTAAATGAGGTAAAATGGTTTTTCTAAACTTGTTTGCAAAGGTGCCTGGTAGGTCATGTGGATTAATCTCGCCTCAATGTTGTATAATGTTTATTCCGGATCAGAGATTATAACGCCCAAGAAATTAAACAGCAGCCACAGGCAAGGATTCAGTTTTTGTGGTACAATGAAGGATCTACCCAATTACCTTTGCAAGGATTTACTTATTGTATACTGGTATTAATTTACAGAAAATAAGTTTGATCAATTTATACCTTCGATTTAAGAGATTTGTTGATGCATGTAGACACATATTTAATGTTTTATTATTCTTTATGATGGCTTTGAATTCATGGGTACACTTTGCTTTCTGACTATAGCTTCTCCTTTCAATGTATGACGAAGATTTTTATTTCTATTAAATAGGCTCAAAAGGAGCATAGCACAATATTAAATATTATTTTAGACCAAAAACAAAACGAAGTAACAATAGTACAACGAGTTTGTAGAGAAACATTGGATGAGAATGCAACCCTCACAAAAGTTTATCGTTTAAAATGTGCCTCTTTTCGTTTTGATGCCTTTCAACTGTTCAATCAATATGTGAAATTCATCAAAAACTTGGTCAAAGAAAAAACTGCACTGTGATTGGATAATTCCCGTCAAAGTCCATCCAAGTTTCAAGAAAAATAGGATGAGATTCTATTCCATCCAAGTCCGTCAAAGTTTTTGATCAAAGTTTTCTTTGACGGTTGTCACTATAAAAAAAATCCAACTTTGTACAAGAAAACTTTGATAGTGACAACCGGCCTTAAGTCCCATAACAGCATAATATCAATGTCCGTGAAATCACAAAAGAGTTTCGAAGATGCTAGTACTAATTTAAATTGGATTACATGCATCCATACACTTACGGCAGTACATTCTTGACCTACAACTATTATTAGTTATGAGCTGTCAATCGGAAATTCAAAACGGTTGCCATTACCTTATTTACCAGAAACTAAGGTTTCGGCTCCGTCTGGTAAAGTTGACATAAGGTGGATTTGGCAATTCTTTTTGTGTCGCGTTCGGTCATATAGCTCGTTACCTTTCAAGCATTTTTTTTCAAATGTTAAGGTTATAGCGTGTTTGGTAAAGGTAAATCCAGAAAAGCGCTTCGGATTCACCACATTTGTAAATTGTTATTTTCATTTGACAGCAACTAATGTCTTGTGAATAATAGCACGCGATATACAATTGGGAAACATGGCTTTGTGAAAGCCATTAGTTAAGGTTTGCCTATGAATGTGAGTGATACTATATTTAAACTAATTCATATGATAAAATTTGTATTTCATAAAGTTTTATTTGTTGTAGTCGAACTTCTGATTATTACTAGATTAATGAAAAAGTAACGCTGACATTTGTTCTTATTGAATTTATTCATATACATGAATCCGTTTGTTGTTGTGTTTATTACTTTTTGATACATTATCCGACTCTTTGCACATCTATTTAAAAACCTACCTAGGCGTTAACAAGAATTCACAGCAAGATTTTCAACCGTTTTGTTCTTTTCTCAAGCATTTCAGCTTTTCCGATATTTGATACAAATTGTATTTGAATTCTTTTAAAATGTCACAAATCCCATTTTACAATGGAAACAAATTTGTACCCGGCATGTTCATTTCAGTTTGATTGACAAAGTAGAAATCTACATCTTAAGTTTTATTTACTCAACAAACATTGGATGTTTACCCAAACAATTTATTTTGGATTTTTCACTTCTACAACCAAACGTCTTAGCTCAGACGGAAGCCGGACCTGTCATCTCACTTTTTGATTTTCTTTTTCCATGTGACTTTTTAATTCATTATCAAGTTTCATTCCTTGCAAAGTTTGTTTATTCATTAATTTCTGTCATTGTATGAACAGGGATTTGCATGAATTGTTGACCAAAGAAAAACACAGGATCAATTCTAGATCGGCTTCCCATTCCATTGTTAGACTGGAGTACATTCTTGACTTTCAACTCGCAACAATACTAATTGTTACCAAGATTAATAGAAGCATCACCTGCAGAATCTGGAAAAGAAAATTGAATATTCGCCGTGAAAGATAAAATCAATTCTATAAATTGCTGAATCTTGTCATTCTTGTTTTAATTTTGACAGGTCCATGTTTTAATCAATTTCCATGAAACTGGTCATATATGAATCATCAGAGATACAATTCAGAATGTTTGCATCGACCAACTGTTTGGCATGTAAGATTCCGTACCTTTACTAACTGTTTAGCATACCCCTACCTTAATTTTAGCTTTGGACGGCCTTATTTAACATGTTAAGGTTACGCAACTGATGCAATTTTTACCATTTTGTTTATGTAAAGTTGCAAACTTATTTGGCACATATTGCATACTTAGGATCAATTTTGTTACATTATGCTTACATTGTTTAAAAAATATTAAACTGTTTAGTTTGTTCACTTAGTTTCTGTTCGCTAGTAAAAAAGAGAAAGAATGAAATCTTTTATAGTTTGCAGTTAAACTCGTCGTCATCGAGTAATTGACTTAACTCGCTGATGAAGAATTGACTGAGTATCATAATAATTAGTATAAATGACGATTTTGGACCATAATACTATTGATTTTACTATATATAAAGACTCCACATCACAATTATTACTGTCAATACGCGACAAATCTGATTACTCTCATGTAGGTCGATCAAACAGATTTATCAAAGTATAAGACTTTATCATCAGGTCAACCGTAAAGTGATACATGTACAACGATCTATGAATATACCATGGCGGCAATCACTAAGTCGATGACAAAATAGAGAGACAAATCGAATGATAGATAGAAA